TGGACTAGGGTCCATATTCAGAGGCCTGTTTCGCTGGGCGATGCCTCACCTTCAACAGGGTGCTAAGGTGATTGGAAAAAAGGCTTTACAAACAGGAGTCAATGTTGTCCAAGATGTTCTTGATGGAGATAACGTTAAAACAGCAGTCCACAAGCGCACGAAACAAGCCCTCGGTCTACCCTCCCAGAATTCATTGCAGGAACAATCAGGAGCTGGCAAAAAATCTATAAAAGGGAAAGCGCAAGGAACCAAAATCAGTTCGCCTCCAGGCAAGAAAGCAAAAACATCTCCGCAGCAAAAGAAGCCCAAAGAGAAATTCTGGAAGTAACTATGGCCTTTGTGCATCACGAGTCTCAGGAATGTACGAAATCGGAGTTGGATCTCTTTACGATTCCTGCAACACAAACCTCTATCACCAAAGGGCAATGGATCGAGTACCACCCCATCAGTAACATCACGGACAGTGGTCCGATCGAATTTTGTGTTTCGGGAACCGGAGATGAGTATTTGGACTTGGCACGTACTCAGTTATTTGTGAAAGCCAAGATCACAAAAGCAAATGGAACCGCCATAGATGCCGATACACAAGTAGGTCCCGTGAACCTGTTTTTACATTCCCTGTTTCCGCAAGTGGACGTTTCCTTGAACGAGCGATTGATCTCTCCATCCACCAATACCTACCCTTATCGCGCCATGATAGAAACCTTGCTAAACTACGGAGAAGAAGCAAAAACAAGTCAATTTTCTATGGCCATGTTTTACAAAGATACCCCTGGAAAAATGGATGTTGCCAACCCTGTGGCTGCAGACGATGCCGCAAACAAGGGGTTAAAGGTTCGCTATGATTTCACTAAAGAAAGTCATATTGTGGATATGATGGGGCCCATTCATAGCGACATTTTCTTTCAAGACCGGTTGATGCTAAATGGAGTGAATTTAAGAATCAAACTGAACCGAGCCAAGAACTCGTTTTGTCTGATGTCATCAGCAGCCGCTCCAACTTTCAAGGTGGTAATCACAGAAGCCATCTTGTTCGTTCGCAAGGTGAAATTGGCCTCTTCTATTATACTTGGCCATGCTGCTGCACTAAAACACTCCAGCGCCAAGTACCCGGTTCGCCGAATAGATTGTAAAGTGCTGTCTATTCCAAGAGGATTTAGCAGTTTTAACCCCGACAACATCTTTTTGGGTCACATCCCCAAACGAATCGTGCTGGTCTTAGTGGATACTCAGGCATATAATGGAACTTACAGTACCAACCCGTTCAACTTCAAACACCACAATCTAACTCAAGTGGGTGTCTATGTGGACGGAGAGCAAATTCCTCGGAAACCCCTGTTCTTGAATTTTGACGAAGCTGGAGGTCAAAATGTAATAGCGGGCTATCAAAGTCTGTTCTCAGGTACTGGAAAGTTATCCCAAGATGCGGGTAATCAGATCAGTAGAGGCGATTATGGCTCTGGTTACACAGCATTCTGCTTTGACTTGTCCCCAGACCACTGCTCAGGTGACCATTTTGAGCTAATAAAGCAAGGTAACCTGCGCGCTGAGCTTCATTTCAAGGAACCACTGGCCAATACGGTTAACCTTATCGTGTACGCTGAATTCCAAAACGTGATTGAAGTTGACGGGAACCGCAACGTGTTGTTCGACTACACAAACTAAAAATGGACACTACTCAACTGACCCTTATTTTGAGAAAGGATAAATTTACACGAGGTGTGTTTCAAGGCGTGTATCCCTCAAACCTGCTGCCTGCCAGTGTTTCACATTACCCAGCCCTGTTTATCGCCAATGTGGATACGAGTGACAAGCCAGGTTCGCATTGGGTGGCGTTTTATTTCACCAAGGAGCAAGAGGGAGAATTTTTCGATTCTTACGGATCACCACCCAGCAAATACTCAGGAACATTTACTACCTTTTTAAACAACAATTCTAACCAGTGGACTTTTAATACTGTGACATTACAAAGCATCTATTCAAAAGTCTGCGGACATTACTGTTTGTATTTTGCTTTATATCGTAGTCGGCAAATAAGTATGAGTACTATTGTCCATCGTTTTTCTAAAGACACAAGTAAAAATGATAGTCTTGTAAAACGATTTATTGAAAAACATTTTCCTATAAGTTTTCCGAAATATCGTACTGATGTAAACATGCAAAGAGCAAAAGCACAACACTAAGTTCAGTAAACAGACACTATGTAATTTCTTTTCAACACATTTTATTGAATGAGCAAAATAAAGATTTGTGTTTCACAATAAAAAAAAGTCTCTTGTCATGATTTATAATCGTAACCACCGAACAGCCTGAGGGCGAGGACTCTCGACTCTGCGCCTCTGCTTTTTGACAGAAGATAACGTCACAGGTGGGGTGGGTAGCCAACGCGAAGGACTTTCCGGGGTCTCCTCTCTCACTCTTGCTTTAAACTCTCTTATGGCACTCTGACGTTGGGGATTACGAACCAAGTTTTCGGGGACATTCATTCGCGCTAGGCCCCTCGCAAACACGGACCACCCCACTGGTTCAAATCCTTTTCGGTGACGCAATGTGTCGTTGACTAGGTCGACCACATGAGAACCTGGGATTGGTTTGTTTTCATACAACAGCTCTCCTTTATCATTCCAATGTAACACATCCTGGTGTTTTTTAATTTTATCCAACAACTGTCTAGCCCCAGCTTTGTAAATTTTCGGTACACTTCTCAGGACCTCTAGCTCTACTGCTGTTGGAAGAGAATTATCTGGAGAAGCTTCGTCTGTAGATTCTGCGTTCTCAACTGGTTTGGGGGTTTCTGTTGTTTTAGGGGTCATTAACTTCACATGGAGAGGCTGGCCTTTCCGCTGATCGTAAAAAGTCAAGTACCGTTGCAACACCTGATTGTAAAGCTTCGCCTTTTCCTCATCATCAAGCTGTTTATTTTCTAAAATATCCCCCATTTGGCTATCCAGATTTTTCAGAGTTTGTGTTACAGGTGGTGTTAATATCTGCTGACGTTGCTGCAATCGCTCCAGAGTGTTCTCAGGAACGAGAACCATGCGTCTTGTATGATTCATCTTAAGTAAGAAGCGAGCTCAACACCCGAAGAACGGGAGGTAGCAAAACACTTAAAAAGTTTCCTCCGTGTTGTACCAAGATTTGCTTTTTCTTGTTTAGCGGGGTACTCTTTTCAGCTAAAGCAGTCAAGGCTTTCTTGTGCTTAAGAAGTTTTCTCTTTGCCGGTTTACTGACAGGGACTGTTTCTTTAAGTACGTTGAATACACACTCACAAATGGTTCTTACTAAAGCGTCGTCGGCTGCTTTCAAAATTGCTTTACGTTGAGCTGGGGTACACTTGACAAGGAGCTTAAGAAAATCGTGGTTCTTTCTTAGTCGCTGGGCCATACTCAACTGATATCAATCACTACAATGGAGCTTTTTTATACCTTTCTGACATAGGCGAGCTGAGTCTCCCCAGGGAAAATGCTTGTGCGCAACCGGAAGTCGGTAGGCGTTTCCGGTTTGAGGTCGCATAACAGGTAGCCATAAGGGCGTTTTGTCGCATCCTGAAACGCTTCTTGCATGTATTTGACATGACCGGGAAACATCTGTTTCGCCAAGTGACTTACTTGACTGCTATCCCGCGGAGACTTGAGCATTACCAAATAATGGCAATTCAAACTCATGTCTCTCAGTTCTTTTCCCCGGTGAAAAATATTTTGAAGAATGAAAATAACGCTTAAATTTCGGTGATGACAGCCCTTAGTAAACAAATTAGTAATTCTTTGATCATTGCTAAGCTCCTGCATTAAATCGTCAATGACCACTAAATTCCGAATGGTTGGGTTTATCATGGATTCTAAATCACCAGGAACTCCTTCGACGAACGTGATGTTGGGAATAGTCCTTAGCATCTCATCGTAAGCCGGTTGGTATATCCCATAACACCAAATGATATTTTCAGGAGCTCCGTCTATTAATTCTTCTCCAGATTCCAACAGGTGTTTGACAAACTGACTTTTTCCACAACAAGTGGGGCCAGCTACAATAGCAGGAAAGGGGTGTTTCCACCTTGGGTCCATGTTGACAACTGACTGGTTCAACTGCGTTTGCTCTTATTTATAGAGAAATGGTCTTTGGTGGAGTATCTTTATCATATACACGAATCATGTTGGTATTTTGTAATTTAGCAAACTGGAGCCAATATTTTCTCTCTAAGTCAGACAGCTCGTGTACCTGAGCCAAATGGTTTGCTAATCGAACTAAAAATTTTGACCCACAGCCGGGAACAGCACAATGCTTGCATTTTAGTTTTTTCATGTTAACGGTATGAAAGCAGACTTTAAACTGAACAAATCTATTTGCGACACGAAATTTATCGTTTATTTTCGAGGGCACAACGGGCACCAAGGGCATAAAGGGCAGAAATTGAGTGTTTTTTTTTTCCTCAGGAACACGCGAGAAGGTCGCGTGGGGAAGTTTTGCGTGGGAACGCACTCGCGCCTTAAGTTAGAGAATTACAAGAAACGCGTTTTTTATAAAGTGTTTTATTTATGAATCACACACGCTACAATTTTTTTAATACAGCAATCAATTTACAACACAATTTTATATATCGAGAGGTATAGTGGTAACTCCATCCTCCAACACTTTTCTTTTGGGGTAAAAGTAGGAAAACCCATCTCGAACTTGTTCATAAGTATACATGCTATTGTTGACTACCCGAAAACCTTTATTTAATCCTGCACTACTCTGTTTGGTCAACAGAACATTAAGATATTTTTCTTTGTTAATGTCGTTTGTTTTCTTGTTAACCCCTTTACAACTGAACTTATCATAGGCCCCAAAGCAATAGTAGGTCTTGCTACTTAGACCAATTATTCCTGCCCCTGTCCACTCTTCCTTAAATAAACCTGGTGTTCTTTTGTCATAAGCTTTGTGTTCTGGAGTGTCGGTTCGTGGAAACCAATTGGCCTTGTCTGCTTCAAATTCTCCTCTTAACTCTGGTTTTACTAAACTTTCTACCGATTGCCCTGCGATCGCGATATAGGCAGAGTCGGTGTCCATTTCACAATACTGAAAATCACTACGATCAAGATACTTATCCATGAAATCAATAAAAACTGAAGCATTCTAAGTTTAGCGTACTGATAAACGAAAAAACCTATCTGCATGGGAAGGTTCAACTTGATTTTTTTCTTGCAAGATTGCACTTCAAACGTATTTTTATCAATCAGTTCAATCTGTCTAAAGAAGGGTTTGTTTATTAAGCGGGACGCTTTGGTTTCTTCCCAAAACTGAACTTCTCGGTGGCGTTCTTGATCGGTTATCGTCTTTCCATAACTCGAGTTCCCCACCTATGAAAAAAGACAACATTGATATGAGGTTTTTTTTGTACCTTAAAGCGTATTTCTCCCTCCGTTCCCTCAATAGGAGAACAACTTACCAATTTCATAGTGTCTGCGATGATGGCTTTGTTTGGGTCTACATCTCCAGCCCGTCTAGCATCCGATACAGCTTTCCCAAAGGGTTGGAAACAGGGAACGGGTGTATACTCCACTACTTGATAAATATGAGTCACTTCCAGACCATGCTCCAAGTACCACTTAATGAGTGGGGAAGCCAATAAGATCTTCTCACCAAAATAGCTACCAACGAGACTTCTTCGAGGTTGTGACATGATGTTCTCTTCCTCAGCAAAGGTTTGCATGTGCTGACCAATATCTTCTCTTGAAATTTGTATGTTTTTGAAAATGGGGCACATTTCTGCAAACTTGGGTTTTAGTGCATCAGGTACTCGAACATCACACTCGACCACTCCAAAGAGGGACTCGCTTCTTATTGCGCTTAAGATCTGGTCTTGTGTCAGAGTCTTGTGATGATCAAGAGGGCGGTTAAACTTGGAGTTAAGAAACTGCTGAACTTGTGAGTTGGTTTTCTTAATTCGACGCCACTGGCACTCGTAGATTTCCACAAGATGGTACCCCTGATCCTTGATGTACTTGGAGATTTCTTTGGTTTCTTCTCGTAACTCCGCCATTGGTCTTTTTCTCTTTTCGTTCGTTTCTTTTCCTTTAGTAAGATGACAGATATGCCCATGCCACCAGCAGCCATGGAACTGAAAGACTGTCTGCGAAGGACCGTGAAAACCATCCACTGGTATTTTTCTTTCACCAATGCGTTTTTCTGTATTGTTCATTTGGTGGCGTATAAAAATTCCTCCTTCATGTGCCTTCCACTCTAACCACTCGGTTGCCACCCTGGAAGAACTTTCTCTCTTGAAGCCAGTTTCCTCTCGGCGTCTTGTAAATGATCCGGTGGGCATGTCTTGCATGATGGCCCATAGATATAAAGCATTGGCATCGTATCCAACAATCTTTTGACAGGTTTTTGCTTGCTTTCCTTGATCCTCCATTTCTTTTTCTCTGATTCTGGTTTTTCCCGCCTCGTGATATCGATGAAATATTATACTGGGGCCACCCACCATATTTTTCTTAAAGAGATAGTACAGATCTTTGTTTTTTTCGTCAAACAGAGAGAAGAAGATGCCAGATTCCAGGGTGGTAAAGAGGTACGTCAAAGTAACACCGGGAATAGAAATACCTTGTCTTAACATGTCTATCTTTTTATCTTTCCAGAAGGCGCACATTTTTTCCAGGGCCTCACAGAAAGGTTGGACATCTTGTACCAGATGAGAAATTCTCGAAAGGTCTGCATATTATTGTTCGACCAGACTTGTTGGCAGTACTGGTAGTCTTCATCAGAAATGTTCTTGTTTTTTAACGTAGAAAAGAACGCTTCGTGAGGTGGAAGGGAAGGGTGTTCTAATTTCTCAAGGGAATCCAGCCATTCATAAGGAAAGAACCCCTTGGTTTGAGGACACTCGTAGGCCTTCAGAAATTTGTCGTAGCTGAAACCGGGAGCAAGAAAGTTGGTGACGTCGAGGAAGCGAAGATGTGGGGTCTTTAGGCACATGAAATTGTGGTTACGCTTGATAGTAAACTGAACGCCTTTATTCTGGACCAGGACAGGAAACAGAAATTCTTTGACGACATTCAAGTCATATTTACCAGAATTGAAGCCCAGGACAGGAAGTTCTTGTAGATATTCTTGGAAACGATCTCTCAGTTTCTTTAAAGGGTGCACTTTTTTCTGCTTAGGTTCTGGGCTGTTGTCCTCTGGTCTATCATATTCACACTCGTGATCATTCTCACTCTGATCCTCGTGTTCGCGATCTAAGGCCCTGTAAAACGAGGCACCTTGTTCTTCTACGTCATCGTCAATAAAGACACGATCTTCTTCGGTTTCAGACTCGATTTCTTCTTCCTCTTCATTATCTGTGTCCATGAGATCTTCTCCTTCATCATCGCTATCTTCCTGGGTGAGGTTTTCTACTGTGTTAGTTTTTGAAGGGTCACCAGCTTCTGATTTTTGCTTCATGTCTTGCAGCCTTTGGTCGATGGCTTCAAAAAGAAAGTTAAATTCTTTTCTTAATAGGTCATAACTTTGTTCACTGATTTTTACGAGGTGTTCTAACATCTCTTTGACGAGCTTTTTAGAGTCCCCATCTGAGACAAAGCAATTAGGTTGGTCGTAGTCTGGAACGTTGGAGCAGACACTCACGCTGAGGGGTATATGTTTAGCGTCCCAAGTCAGTTTCTCTGTATCGTTAAGGTCTGTCTCAGGTGTAAACATACACTCAAAGTCAAAGGTAGCTCTGTAGGGGAAGAACTTGAGATGTTCAGGAACAGTCAACCCTTCGTCTTCAAGCAACTGAAAGATGGTTGGTGGGGTCTTGTAAGCACCTCCTGGAAACTGGTAACTAACTTTCGCTTCACAGGTTCGCTCGTGACGATTTAACATACCAACATGTTTCCACAATGTTCCACATCGCGAGCAGCTGTAGGACTTGGCATACTTCTTTAAATCTTTAATACAGGAAAAGTGATTCTGGTACAGGTTGAGGTACAGCGTAGTTGGGTAGTGGCAAAGGGAGCGGTGAATCAACTGCGCAGCGATCTCAGGAGCGAAATCCTCTTCCTCTTTTTCGATGTCTTCTTCTCCCTCCTCTCCATCTGGTTTAGTGGGTTCGAGGGAATAGACAAAAATGTTGACTTTGTAGAGGTGTTCTAGGTCGATCAGTTCTTTCAGCTTTACACCACAAAATTTCTTTTTCTCAGGAAAAAACTCTCTATATCGCTCATAGTAATGTCGTGCATCCCGCTCTAGATTCTTTGGGTGACAACCGTTGTGGAGTGCCAGAGCGCGAAAGAAGCACAAATTGTCGCTGTAGATTTTACCGGTCTGGTGGTTGCGATCCAAGGCGACCAAACCATGGTTCTCGGCCAGATAGGAAGGCAAGTAAGTACCTCTCCCTATAGGATGACCTCGTAGCTTGGTGACGAAGAAAGTGATATTGGTCACCTGTTCTACGACCCATTTGGAGTTAGGGCGTCGCTGGCGTACCCATTCCAAGACGTCAAGGTTTACCAATGCTTCACGAACTTGCTGAAGGTCAGCTGCGGTGTTAATTTGAAAGGGGTCCTCGAAGACTTGCTCATTATTTCTGGAGGCATAATAATATTGAAGTGCTCCAGTCTCGTTGTTGCGTAGAATGAAACCAAAAGACACATTCAGCTTAAACACCGTGGACTGGTCAGTAAAAATGTTATTCAAATGAGTGATAAGTTCTTGAGGTTGGAGAGAGGACAGGCGGAAATTGTACCAGTCCAAAAGGCGATTTTTGCGGCTAAAACGAGTGCGTATTTGATGCCAGTGGTTGCGGTATTCGGGAACGAGACTTTGTTGTGCCTCAGGGAGATCGGTGATAGACCTTGGCTCTTGCTGCCAACTAGAACTTGGAGTTGACTGTCTTTTTTCGATAGGGGTCGACTTTATTTTCTTGGTTGTTTGCTCTGAAAGAAAAAAAGGGTGTACATCTATCTAAATAGAATATCTCCAATGTGTTCAAAGTAAAAGTTACGTTTTATTCCATATATTGTGAACTTACAATGACTTGTCTAAATCTACTGAAATACTATCAGTTTCTAGCTTCTGTTTTTATAGGTTATTTCCGATTCAAAAGTAAATTTGCAATCAGCGGCTTATATTTACCGGTAAATATGTTGTGTTTCAGACCTCCATTTCTCACCCTGAAATGATTTTGTGACCCCGAACCTTACCGCGGTATATACTAGTAGAGGGGAACAATGTCGATGTAAGTCACACGATACGTCCTCTTTGAAATGACCCTGATATCGGACCTTATGGTTTTAAGGACAAAAGAAGTGTTTAACAATGTGTGACCTCTATTATATTCAGTAAGGTATTACTGTAAACAAAGGCCGATAAAGCACTTTTTCAACACATCCTACTATCTATTATGCGTTGCGAAGGCAATTTACATAGCACTTATCATTTACACAAAATGTTATTTTGGTATTGCAAAAGAGTCTTCCTACCTGAGTTGTCCTGGCGTGGACGTTTTGCAGTCGTAGAGGGTTTGCTGTGAGCTGTTTTCTGATGTGCTCGAAATGGAGCCAGATTGTGAAAGACTTCACCACAGGTATTACATACGTATTCCCGCTGAGCCGCTCGGCGTTCATGAACTTGTTTCACATGTCGTTTTAAGGCATCTATTCGATTAAACTTTCGCCCACAGAGGGAACATTCGTGTCGCTTTCCAAGAACTGCATAGAGAGCATTTTAGAAGAGGTAGAGTCTACTTCATCCTGTAAAATTATAAGTTGTATTAACGACGGATTTACAAACCTGTTTAAAAGATATAGTGCGACAAGTATTATTTGCGTCAACAAAGTCTTTCAACAGCATGGTTTCATAATTCCTTTATTTATACACCATAACTTGTTTTTGTAAAAATAACTCCATCAAGTTTAAAATCTGACTTCATTTACAATATTATCTAAATCGAATCTATCTTAAAATAACTTTTGTACAAGCTGTTTCTTCTCAAAACAATTTTAAATATGCAAAAACCATTAACTACTACTAAGTTTATGTATTGCACGCTTTATTTTTATAATTTCTTAATTTTTATGTTTTTATCTGTTTGTATTTTTAGACCATTTTATTTCACGAGGGAGATTTAACGAGCTACGGCTCCTAAGCTCTTCGTGGGTAAATAAATTATGTTGAACCAAAGGTAACTAAATTATTGTAAACCTACCTCTGCTAGTCGTTTCCTGCCCGCTCCACTCTGTATTTCGTTTAAGTAAGGCCGTCCAGTATCCTAAAAAAAGTAAAACTTGGTTAAGTTGGTAACAATACTCGACCAAAGGGAGAGAGAACGTTCATTCAAAGTACAGAGAAACAGAGAGCACATACCTGTGGTAGTTTTTCAAACTCATTCTCCCAATCATCCCATGGTTGAAAAATTTCCGGGGGAACGTCATAGAAACTGGTTAACTGATTGAAATTCATGACTTCTTCTGACAATTCGTGAATGACTGATTGGATAGGGAGCGCCATTTTATATGTTTCGGAACAATAGAAAAAACTGGCAGGTAAAAATAAACCATGATATCATCGTACCTGAATAAATATGACATCATCATGACCAAGTAGCTAGGGACATGATATCACTTTTCTATTTATAGATTATGATCTCAACATTTTTTGATGACGTCAACGCTAGGAAATTCTGACGTCACTTGCTCCTTGCCAGCTAAAAATAAACTATGACATCATCCTATCTTAATGAGATGCATGACGTCATCTGCGTTAATTTATACCACTCAAAAAGTTAATTAAATCCACAAAGAAAAGGAGTAACCGGTGCCTTATCCACTACTAGCACCAATGTGTTTGTGCAGGTATGAGCTCTTGGTAGGTAGCAAACAGATTCTTCAGTTTCTGTGGACTGTACATAAATAACAAAGCATTATGTAGTTAAGTAAACATGATTACATACACTTACGTAAGTTCGTAGTTGTGTAGAAGCATGAAAACATAACCTAGGGTCCAAGTAAAAGGGAGAACTTTCATTTCTTTCTTCAGAATGCAGATAGTAAAAAGGCAATTTGGCCTTGCTTATCTTAGTACATGTATTTGTTTTACTCACATCAAGCTCAAACTTTTCGAGACCATTTTGAGGACAAAGCCTTCACATTGTACAAGTACTCTTTGACTTGACTACAGACTCAAATAAGTTGCTCAAGCAAATACTACCAGGGTTGCAGCCACAGAAGTGTATGGAACTAGAAAGCTTGAAAAGTTTCATGAGATAAAAATTAAGACTCTCATTTTGCTCTATGTTGAGATAAGTTTTTCAATATGATCCCTTCCCACCAAGGAGGGGTACTCCGTATTTCAAGTGACGGGGATGATAAAAGGATTTTTTCGGCTTTGAAATTTTCGATTCCAGAATTTTTTGGGGAGGAAAATTTGGCAAGTATTTTTTGGGGTGGCTTGATTTAAGTATCATTTTTTTTGTTTAATCAAAAACAATCTCAAGATTTGTGGTAGTGGTGGCATCTCCCAGTTGTGTTGTTCTGCGAAAAAAGTACAGTGTGATAGATTGGTCCATGATGAAACCAAGAGCAGGCTCTTCTGCTGCCTCTGTCACAAAAATTAGAATTGAACTTAACTTCAATGGACGCCTTCTTCCGTTGGCTACTTGACGCACATACTTTACGAAACAGGCATAGACCTCTTTTTTCCTTTGCATAGGCTGTAGACCCATCTTGTGCAAATGCAGGCTTCAACAATTTTAATAGCACTACAGAGCTCAAAGTAGCATTGCTTGGTCTTAGTGGATGAGGCATTATTGGCTTGTTTCGGAAGACTCTAGTAAGTTTAAATACATCAAGTCCCCACTGTATATTGATTACGCACTTGTCTACTTCTCGTTTGTTAACTAGCCTATCAATTACATGCAATGGAAGAAAGTATGGCAGCTGACCATTTTGAAGAAGAGCTGTGCCTATCATGACGCCGACAAAAAAGTAATCATCTGCAAGAAACTCCCTTAATCCATTAGCAAAATACTTTTCTTTCATGGCATGGTTCATAAGAATCCATTCCTTTCTGGGTACTCCAAGATCCCTGGCCTCTTCACCCATAAAGTCTACCTCAAATGTCTTACAGAAGTCACTAATCGATTAAAATTAGGGAAATGTTGTTTTTAATATATTAGAGCGATCAACTGTAATAATTATAGTTAGTGTCACCTTCAGGTGAGTTGGTATCATCAAAAACATCCATGGCTCTGCCTTTAATTAGTCGTTGCTGTAGCGACCTAAGAATTTCTACAGGGTCAGAAAGAGATTGTTTGTCTATTTCAAGAAGTAGATCATCAGGTTCATTGTCAGCGAGATCAAATGCATGGAGAGGGCCACTGACTGCTGGAATGTCATGTACTCCTAATCCTTCTTGGTTGGGCTGTTTATCCTCCCCACCTTCAGTGAAAACAGCATGGTCGGCGGAATGTGCAGGCCTGATACTCACTGTATGATTGTTATTTTCCCCTGCCTTTTCGAAATAGGAAGCTTCGAAACCATGATCACTGTCGTGGTCCTTCATACAAGAATTAATATCCTCTCTTAATTCTTACATACAGAAGACCTTGACCTGCCATTTTCTTCACAACTGCAAAACTGTACTCAGTTCCTGGACCTAGTTCCGTGGGAGAAATTTTCTTTTTCCTTACTTTCACAAACTCGAAATCATTTGATCCAATCACTGGAAACTTGTTTGAAATGGACTCTTTAATAGATTGCCTTATTGCCTCTTCATTGTCATTTTCATTTATTGACAGCATTCCATTTGCTGTTACTGAGTCCCACTTCATGTTCGTCTTGCTCCTCCCCTGCAGACTTCAAAACAGCAAACTCCACAACCTTTTTGTCTCCCCTGTCCTTGGTTTGCTGCTGTTTCCCCGGGCACGGACCTGGCCCGTGCATGTACTTGCCGGTTCGGGTATGTCAATGATTTCATTCTTTGAGAATGACTTAGCCTAAAACTCCAGTGCTTTGGAGTAGCGCTTACCGAAATACTTCAGAAACGTTGTTACCATTATTCACAGGTGGCGAGGCTCTAGGTAAACTCCTCGGGGATTCTCGAAGGATCCTTGATGCCTCTTCGACCATTCGAGCAGCGCGCTCCACGTTGCTTTGACTGAGGTCTTGACTTTCATCCATGTGAACGCGCTGAAGGTACGTAAATATAACATATTACGATGAAATGATCAGCTAAAGCTACTCATGGAGTTAACAGAAGCGCTTAATACTCCTTTTTACTGAATAAAACTGAAATCAAGTGAAAATTTATCCCCAAAATAAGATCAAACAACACTCGACACATACCTGTACGCTTGTAATGGCGGGCAAAGTAACGCGCTTTGTCTTCCTCATGTGACTTTTCTACGTTGGCCGCGCTCGCCCCAGGAAGAATAAATGAAATGCTTGGAGGATTGAACGTGTTTTCAAAGGAATGGATGAATATTTAAGTGATTGGATTGAGTGAACATTTAGTCATGATTAAATTGAACTGATGAACATAGGATTAAATTGAATGCTTTTTTTTATTCTTTAAACATATTTGAAAGATTAAATGAATGACATTAGGCTGAAATGATTGGATTGAATAAATTTTTGACTTGATTGAATTTTGCTCCAAACGGCTTGCGATAGTATGTAAAGTGATAGAAGAGTGATCAGTTTCAGGGGCGTTAATTATATTGCATGCATCTGTGTCATTTGAGTTCTTTCGAAATTAAAAAGAAGTCTAGTCGGCATTGGATTTTCAGCGATTTATTTCTCCATGTGAAACGGCTGTCGTTCGGATTGCGATCGCGCCAAATATCTGTTAAATTATAAAGGTTCGCAATATGCTGAACTTCTTTAAGTGCTGTGGATTTTTTCCAAACTGGGTTGCCACCATTTCGTCATTTTCAGACAGAGCGTAGTTAAAGTCACCTGCGATAACAATATTCTCTTGGGCAAAGTCTTCAGCTGATTTTCCAGCTCTTTAAAAATGTGATTTGCTGGTTCGCGCCATTCGGGGCACAAATGTTCACTAAAATTAAATTAATGCAACTCATCAATTAATAGGTCAAGTATAAGAAACCTGCCATTCGTGTCTTGGATGCATTTTTCGACCTTGAAATCTAAGTTCGGATTAAGGAGAGTCATGACACTTTTGCTATGTGAGCTGCCGTGACTAAAATAAACCTCTTCCCACCCTATTCAACTTTCCAAATTTGGGCACATTCTTTAGAGCTGTAGGTTTCTTGTAAGAATGTGAAATGGTTTTGTTGATTATGTGACCAACGAAAGATTGATCGACGTTTGATTGACTTATTCAATCCTCTTACGTTTAAGGACTGGAATTTAACATCAAAACTAGTTTTTCATGGCATCTGCGGGACAAAGGGAAAAAGTCAGAAAACTGCGTCGGCAATGGCGGACCTTGACAGCTGTCTTTTGGCCGGTTTGTGAATTTGAATGCAGTGTATTGGTGATTAATGTGTTCAAGCTACTAGCAGAAATAAATTATCAAAGGACTTTCACAAACATTACTAGAGAAACATAAACAGAAAAATATAAAAGGCGCTGAAAAAGGTTTTCGAACGCACCACAAGAAAGTGGTTTGGCGTACTTGAGTGGGTAGCATATCAAGGGGTGTAGAAAGCATCCGCAAAAACATCGACTTTTACTCTCAATGTAAAATAAACAGATTTGCTATTAAAGGTGAAAATTTAGCTAAATTTGGTTACCCGTGAGGGAAGCATGAAAATAGAGAGTTCCATTTCAGTGGCGAAAGTCCTCGTATTTGCAAAGACAAAAATAAAGTTTGCAGTTCTTGGGATTGGACCATAACATCAGAGGATTATTCTTGACTTTGCAGTGGTTCTTGTTGTTCGGCTGTACCATTGCCATAATCCACCTGGGTATTCAACGAAGAGTTGACAGGGAGCCATTTCTCCCGCACGCCATAACGAAAATAAACTTTCCCATTAACAACTAACTTATCTCCTACGACGGCAGCTTTGTGGCTTGCTGTTTCTTGTTTTATCGTCTTCATCGCAGCGATAAGGACGTTTTTCCTGACTTCTTGTATATGCTTCGGTAGGTCTTCACCCATTGAAATAAGCGATTTTTTCAGCCTGTAGCGAGCCTTCCAGACGAAATCTCTGTCAGCACGACGCTTTAAGAGAGCAATGAGAGGTCGGGCTCTGTTTCTGTTTGGCTTGCCAAGACTCTGGACTCATTTACTCTGTAGAAAATTAGATTCCATCGACGACTGTAGATGTTGAAATGAGTCAGCTCATCCCAACAAGTTTACTGCTCGTTTTCGCAGTTCTCGACGCGTTCCACAAGGTCATCATGCTCACCTTGGGTGAACTCAACGGAATCGTTAGTGTTGTCCACTGTCTTTTTTACTTCACAGCCTTTTTTCTTTAAAGGGCTTGTATTTCAACTTGAGCTTCATCAAGTCTTGCCTGCAGATTAAGAATTCGTTATTCATGGATTTTAGTGTTGTCTTCGATAGCTGTGAGTCTTAATATCAAGCTTTGATATGCTGTTAGCGTTATTTTGATGTAGGCACATCTTGGGCTGCTTCGATGGATTCCGTGTCGGTGCCAGAGCTGCTTATCCTCGGTCGTTTTTTATCTAATGTTGGTAACTGTTAGTATCGTGGAAAACGTACAAAAAAGGCGATATTCACTGTGTTGTGTTGATTTCTCAAAGCCGTGTTTGTAGAGCTTTCAAATGTGCGTCTAGTTCCAACGGCTCATGCCCAGTCTCCCTTCATTGTTAGTCATTGTTGTCACAATGAAAAGCAATTATAATAAATTCCAATCAATCATTTAGGAACTCCAAGAACTCAACCCTTGAACAATTAATTAAATGGAAAAAGTATTAAAAGAAGCTATAGGTTGTAAAACACTGCCTATGTTGGCCTTCTAGGTACGATGACAGATGCATAGTTGAGAAATTTAGAATTTTGCAAATAGCAATGGAAAATGACTCGCGCTGGTGTGACCTGAAATTACGTTTTGCACACCCTCTCATGCCAAAGTACGGTGGCCGATAGGAACAAAACAGTCACAAAACCCAAAACAGAATCACAAAACTCAAAACAGAATCACAAAACTCAAAACAGAATCACAAAACCCAAAACAGAATCACAAAACTCAAAACAGAATCACAAAACCCAAAACAGAATCACAAAACCCAAAACAGAATCACAAAACTCAAAACAGAAGCACAAAACCCAAAACAGAATCACAAAACCCAAAACAGAATCACAAAACTCAAAACAGAATCACAAAACTCAAAACAGAAACACAAAACTCAATACGGAAACACAAAACTCAAAACAGAAACACAAAACTCAAAACGGAAACACAAAACTCAAAACGGAAATACAAAATAGATAGCAGAAGAAAAACACAAGACAGTGGACTAGCCAGGTTACTAAGACAAACAGGTGTAATCGCAAAGGTTAAACCTCATGCTCAGTGTAGAACATGGCTTCTTTGGTAAATCACTTTTCTTTTCCCCCCGCTGTTTTCTTATTTTTATTATATCAATTTGTTTTCATTAATGCTCTTCCCGATCCCGCCTGTTTAGTTGTGAGGAATTTTGCTTCTCTGGAAGATTGCATACGCTCATATTGGTTCATTGGTTACAAGTACGCTAGCATCGTTACGTTACGTTTTTGTCCCTTTACCACGGCATTCATATAACCGTAAGACAACTTAAATACCTGATTAACATTAAATAATCTTCGGAAGAGAAATAACGAAAGTGCAGCTCAGGAAATACGGCGAGCGGTACGTTATGAATTAAATGGACCAGGCTGTTTAATGGGTTATCCTTCTATGACAAGATGTCTCAGATTTTGATTTTTTTTTCTGGAAACACTGCTTAAATTAAATGCCTCTCATAAACAATTTCGGCGTTTTTATCAGTCAATGACGTAAATAACGTGGGATCCGCACATCACTGATTTTATCGCCGGGTAAGAGAGGCGAACGGTGTCAGAGGGCTACAGATACTGATTACCTTGGAAATAATCCTGATGAATCACAGACCGTGTATATAAAAAGAGTAAT